ACGCGACGACTACCGCCCTTAAATGACCTTAATACCTTCAGCACACAGGAGTTCTTTCTAAGCTTTCTTTGATCTCATATACTCCTCCAACAACTGTCTTACCATTCTAGGGAAATGTTCTGACGTTCCCGGCAAATTCGTCAGCTGCGAGATATTTTTGAATTCCTATGCAACAATTCAAGCAAATTCCTCGTACATTTCCTTACTTTTTACTTTTCTATTTTTAGACAACCTTTCATATCTTGTATTTATTTTCAAGGTGCCAACACTCTACAACACTTTTCACACTTTCTGAAATACTTTACTGTTCCAAAGCAAACTTTTCAGATTTTCCAGTCATTCTTTTTACTTTTTCAAAACTTTTCTCACTTCCTTAACTCTTCCCGCTGTTTCAACATTTTTTTGTTCTTTCCACATGAATTATTCATCTTTTCAGACAACTTTCACTGTACCAAATTTTTTAGCACTGTATACCAATCAGCTTCATTGTACCAAATTCTGTTAGCAAGGTAAGCAAATGAACTTCACTGTACCAAAATGATTGTTTTTAAAAGTTCTTTTTATCTTTTTTTCCAGGTGACATGTTCTAAATAACTCCTATGTTGAACCGACATTCGAACATGTAAAACTGTTGACATTTTCTGAAATACTTCTCTGATTTTCCACACATGCTCCAAGAACATTTTTCCGATTTTCGATTAAAATTTCTTCACTTTCCTGGCAACTTTTCCCAAACTTATATATCATCATTTGTTATTCTTTCCACGCAAATTTTCATCTTTCCAGACAACTGATGAGCTTCCAAAATAAGTGTTTTTACAAGTTCTTCCAGTCAACTGCTCTATCACTGTAGTGAAATATTTCTGGTGTAACTTATCTTATTTTTCAAGGCCACTTTTCTGCATTCTCGGCATTCCCTACTTTTCAGATGTTATCTACTTTATTTTTTAAGACACCTTTTCTAACTTTCCATGCTTTTTGACTCTCAAGGTCACTTTCCATACAACTCATCTAACTTCCAAACAAGTTCCATGACTTTCTAGAAGAAAATAAAACAAATTTGTTTGACTTTCTTTGTATAAAATTCTGTTAGCAAGGTGAACCAATCAACTTCACTGTACCAAATTCGGTTAGCAAGGTGAACCAATCAACTTCACTGTACCAAATTCGGTTAGCAAGGTGAACAAATCAACTTCACTGTACCAAATTCGGTTAGCAAGGTGAACCAATCAACTTCACTGTACCAAATTCTGTTAGCAAGGTAAACCAATCAACTTCACTGTACCAAATTCGGTTAGCAAGGTAAACAATCAACTTCACTGCCAAATTGTGTTAGCAAGGTGAACCAGTCAACTTTACTGTACTAAATTCTGTTAAAACTGTAAACCAATCAACTTCACTATACCAAATTGTGTTAGCGAGGTGAACCAGTCAACTTTACTGGACTAAATTCTGTTAAAACTGTAAACCAATCAACTTCACTATACCAAATTGTGTTAGCGAGGTGAACCAGTCAACTTTACTGGACTAAATTATGTTAAAAAGGTGAACCAATCAACTTCACTGTACCAAATTCTTTTAGCAGTGTAAACCAATAACTTCGCTGTACCAAATTGTGTTAGCAAGGTGAACCGATCAACTTTACTATACCAAATTATTGCCTTATAAGAGCCTTAATTTACTTTTTTGTCTGAATCAAACATCTTCATTAATAATCTGTAGTACAAATGTAGTCATTTTCAATATGGAAAAAATGGAATAAATTTGAAGCCACCATACTCTGTTCAAAAAAATTTGATGGAATGAATATAGCCTATAGTTTTTGAGCATTTTACTATTGATTTCTATGGCAAAGATATTCATGTATCTAAAAATTTCAATGATGTACAGTTCACTTCTAGAATTATTGTAAAAAATGTCATTATTTTTAGTGGCTTTTTAATATTGAAATGTGTTTTCATTTTGGTCTAATGGGATCACCGATAAATTTCTATTTTATGTTTATTATTTGACAGTCTCTCTCAAAAAAAACAGTGCATAAAAAATGTTGACATTCTGCTGATTAAATGTGGATTAAAATCTAAATTATATATATTTAGACATGAAATATGCGTACATGTCAAAACGCACAAGTACATTGCACCTTAATAATGAACATGTCATCGCTTGAAGTTGGTATACACGTGATTGATATTGACATTTCTATTTTAGGTGGCAATTGTTGCCATTATCACTGGACATGGAAGTGATGAAAATGGATGCGGAGAATTCTGTCCAACATCCCATCATTTTGTTGTCAATGGCAACCACACATACAATAAATCATTCGATATAGCAGGTATGGAAGCTCAATACATCATTGATGACTGTAAAAAACTTTATTTTAGCTGGAATTAATTTTCAATGAAAAGACGTTTTGGGCGTTTTGTATGGAATTAATGTTCAATGATTTTTGAGAGTTGAATGTAAAATATGAAAAAAAAAAAAACGTATATTCACTGAATTTTATTTCCACTGAATCATTTCTCCAGAAAAAATAGCGAAAATTAATTCCCAGCAAAAATAAAATATTTTACAGTAAGTAATTTCATTCACTTTGAGATCTTGCAGAATGCGTGAAAGCTGGAAACAGAACGTCTGCCAAAAAATCAAATGAATGACAACCACAAAACTTGTTTTCTCAGTCATCGTAGCAACTTTTCTCATCCAAGTAACCATAGTAACAGTGAGCCAATGATGAGGGACAAAAACAATTAAGTTTCAAGGCCGTAACCATTTACATGCAAGATCTATTTCAACTCTCACAGGAACGCAACTTGGGTGTGCTGACAACGTTCCAACTGGAGTCGAACCAAACGAGCATGGCACATGGCTGTACGGACGAGATGGATGGTGCGATGGCAGAGAGGTCGACCCATGGGTCATTGATATAACAAACCAAGTAACCAAGCAGACAACGAATAACGTAACCTACTATGGCTGGTACAAGGGAACGGATCCGGATCCAAAGTTGCCACCAGGATACATTATAATGTATTCATATTTGGTCTTCTACAAAAATATCTAATGCCATAATTTTGTACATTTATGTATTTTCCCACAATTTTTTTTGTTAATTTTATACAAAATGTACAAATTTGCAACTGAATACCATTAAATACTTAATTTTTGCTTAATTCAGTGTATTGTTCTTTGACTTCTATGTACCAAGTTTCATTGAAAAGTGACAAATAGTACTTAGAAGTGGAAAAGCCAAAAATTGACTAATTGTAATTAATGCGAATTAGGTAATTAATTTTTACGCCAAGGTCCGTGCATGCAGTCCTATATCCCCTATGTACCAAGTTTCATTGAAATGTGATGATTACTACTAGAAATATCAAAGGTTGAAAATTTACTAATAAAGCAAATTAGGCAATTAATACGCAAAAATTATTAACCTAAATCCAGTCAGGTCTGTGCATTGTCCTACGACATCTATGTACCCAGTTTTATTGAAATGTTATGATTCCACGGTACCGTAGTCAAGATATCTATGAACAAGCAGCCGGTTGGCTGAGATAGCTCCGCTGTTAGCAATGCACATTTCAATTAAAGAACTCAAGATATCATTTTCTAAATGAACAATATGTTTAGTATCAAAGCAATCGGACTCGCTGTTTTCAACAAGAATTCAAGAATATCACTTTTCACCAAAAATGACAAATGATAAAAGGCGTAAAAAACACTGGAGTTTGACGAATCCCACAATGTTTTGACACTACGACCTTTGACCAGTCTTTACATTCGATTTCACGTATATCATCAATCTCAATGAATGGAAAATATTCTATACAATGCTGGATCACCCTTATATTTTTAACTATGTGGTCAGATGACAAAACAGCTATTCTTATAGGAGATTGTCAATCAAGTCTGTCAATTGCATTTTCGACTTCAGTGTTCTCGAATTTTGGTAAAGGATGGACACTAATTTGCATAATTAGCATAATTTATTCATGATACTTGTACATTTTTTCCAGTTTTTGTAAACTGCTCGTTGATTCACTTTTAGTTTTATAATTTAGATTGAAAACACGAGTCATGGCTTAAATCGGAAAAATCAATATTATAAAGTACTCACCCGCTATTTGTTGTGCAAAAATATGTAATGGAGGATTCTCAGTTAATTGACAATAACTGAACTGTATAAATTATCCCTGGCCGTAGTGGAAAGTGAACGTTGCAATAATTGTAAACAATCTTGACAGCCTCAATAAAAAAAGATCTACCCAGAATGCAGTATTTCAGTTTTCCCCTGACAAAGCGTTATTAGAGTGCCCTCAACAGTTAGACTGCAGTTCGAATAAGGTGGGTGGGTGTTGCATGATGGGATATACCGAGTTTAAACTGATGCATGATGGGACATGTATATCTACAGCCACAATGGAAAGCAAGTTGACTTTTTAACATCAAGTTTGTCAAGGATTTTTGATTTCATTGATGTTTCAGTCGATGCATCTCATG